GAATCGGGAGGCGCAGGGGGCGGGATCCATAAAAAGCGGTGTGGAGGTGTACAGCCTGAGCCTGACTCCACGCCACTGGGTAATTTATGTTGTCACACTGCTGTTCTTGGTGCGGAGGCATTCAGAATGTCACAGAGGCCAGACCTACGGGCTCCTGGACCCCTGGGCCGGCAGGGCATCTTGGAAGAACAGTGCTTGGTTTGATACCTGCAGCAGAGGAGAGGAAAGCCCAGGGACATAGTGTGAGGAGGTGACCCATCGTGTCCCAGTACATCCGGGACTAGCTTTCTGAGCCCCCTATCCAAAGCTGGCTTTATTTCCGTTAACACTGGTGCTCCCGCATCTCATGAGTGCACGCTGTGTCCTCTCCTCTCTGCATTTCATTGTCCCCCACACACCCCCAGACACGGGGAAAGGGTTGAGCAGCAAGCCTTGGTTCATGGTTTTAATTCCTTGTTAAATTCGGCAATGCCAAAGGCTGTGGATTTGGTCCTTGGAGAAAACGTGGGCCTTACAAGATGGGAGAGTAAATTTTGGAGGGCTTTATTGAAGAAATAAAAGACATCTTTTGTATCTTTCTTCCCCAGAGCCCTTCATTTTTGTAACTGTGTTCCTGTTGGTTTAATTAAACATAGAAAAGGTAAGATGTTGAGTCCACCTGCCTTGGAGCAGACCCAGGTCTGAACTTTTTCAAATCCTTGACACATTTAACTTGAAGGATTTGAAACACACAATCATAGGTTACCTAGTTCAGTTTTATGTCCTACTGGATTAAGTTTTTTTTTTAATGTTTGAAAGCATAATTTTATGGTAGTCCTTCTGGGAAGAATCCAGTATTATCTAAAATTATTGGCAAAGTTAAATGTATTTTACATAACAGAGTTTTTAGAATGTTGAGAAGTAACTGAAAATAGAGTGATGTTTAGGCTGAGATAATTTATTTCAATACATCTTTCAAAAGCCTTATCTTGAAATGCTGTTAGTAAATTTCTGTGATTATTTTTCTTTTTAAATTGGTTTTGCTGAGAGCATAGCTATTTGTTTTTATTGTAAAACAATAATAATGATAATAAAAAGCAAACTCTCCTAGTGTGTTGTGTGTGGCTGGGAGGTAAGGCAGTTTTGTTCAGAGGTGCGGAAATTAGAACACGTTTTGATTTTGTGTGTTCCGTTTTGGTTGGAGGGTTTTTTCATCCTTATATATGTGTGCATGTTGTGCACATTTAAAGATGATACCAATTCCATGTGTTCTTATGTTTCAGATGTGTGAAAAGAGAAAATGTTTTGGAGTCAATTTTAGAGGGTCCTGAGACATTGGAATACAGCAATATGACAGTGATCAAAGTGGAGCCATGCCTTTAAAATGACCCTAAAAGAGAAGTCCTAAATTCACCCTTAGATTTTACACCTGGATAGTAAAGGGTTCTGGGCACTAATTGTATTGTCTCTTGGCTTTTGTCACTTCTTGAGGGCATCTGGGACAGATGCCAAGGGCAAGGGCAGGAGGCTAGACCAGTGTCCCGTTCCATCAGGTGGTCCCCATCCCATGGCCCCTTCACTGTGCTGGCTGTCTCCAGGAAGGGAGCCTGTCCTCGTGCTCCGCCACGTAGCCCAAAGCGGAGGCCAGGCTGCTGGTTCACGTTTTTAAACTGAGTATTTGGGCGCTCTGTGAATGGTGGTGAAGGTGCCCTTGCCCTCTCTGGGCTCTTTTGGAAGTGCTCTCCCTCACTCCCTCCATTTTCTTTTGGCTGTGCTGACATCTTGGGTTCTCGCTTTTTTTTTTTTTTCCTCCCCCTAGTTTTGAGGCTTTTAGGTACTGTAGAGATCGATGGTCCTTGTGGATGTATTTCTTGTGTTGATATAAATCCTGGGTGCCCAGGTGGCCGCTCGGACCTGGTTTCCCACTTGAGCTGTGCAGACAGTATGCTTTTTTATCTTTAGCCAGCCGACCTGGTCCTCTCTGGGTGCGCCTTTCCCCACTAGGGGGAGGAAGCAGAGAGCTCTGTGGAGCAGGGCCTCACCTGCAGGAGCCGTGGCCCTGCCACCAAGCTGGTCAGGGAACAACGCCTGCCTGCCCTGAAGGCCCTCCATCACCTGAACACCTCTATCTCTTGGCGCCCCTGACTGCACCTTAGAGTCGCTTGTGGAGTGCCTGGAGACTATGACGCATAGGCTCTGCCGCCACGTGTCTCATCTAATTGAATTGGTCTTTCCCTGCACCCTTTCCCAAGAAAATGCTGCTGGATCCCATTTTAAGGAAGATAAGGCAAAGCAGCTTCCGTTGTTTTTATCTACAAAATTCATATGCAAGAACTGTTATTCTGTGGCTCATTTTTTTTAAGAGAACTTCAGGTACGCCATATGTAGAAGTCACGGCATCCTGCAGCCTTTCATCTGCATCCCCCCAGACCAGTGTCCTGAAGTCAAGCTGTGGCCAGGAGCGCAGGCTTCCCATCAACAGAGATGGCTGTGAGCCTCCCTCTGCAGATAAGTTGGGGCGATGGGAGCTGGTGGGAGCAACGCTGGGGGAGGGGTGGGCCTGGCTGGCTCACCAGCAGGCTCGTCCTGGGTGAGGAGCTCCCGGATCTGTTCTTTGTAACAGGAGGGGACTAGCCTCTTGTTACGCCATGGTCTCTGCAGCAGTATCAACCCCCCACTTTCCATCCTCACTAGATTCAAAAGGCCACTGGAATTGCCAAGGAGAGGCCTTCCTGGGCTGTTGGTGTGCGGAGGATTACAATTAACTGCCCTTGCCCAGACCCCACCATCTCCCAGGTGGAGCACTTGACTGCTTGGCTAGTAAGTGATCCATGGACATGATGCAAGGATTTTGATGAGCTGTGTTACCTCCAGGTCTCGGTCTCAACTGATGTGCAACTAACTGCAGTAGAAACCTGGCAACCCAGTGGAGAGGTAGTGAGACCTGCCACTGGGAGGGATTGAGAACCAGATTCCGTACACCAGGCTGTGCTCAGCTGCTCCGTGTGTGTTCAGCCTGCCGGGGACTTCTGGCATCCAGGTGCAACAGGAGAGGCTTTTAAAGATGTCCAAATGAGTGCATGTGACCCCTTGGGTACAGAGGGCCAGGGCAATTTGGCCTCATTCTTGGGACCACGCATTCTGCTGTGGTGGAGCAACTGGGTACAGGATCCCATATTACCAGGAGATTTGGGATTACCCGCCCTCCCCCCGTTTCCAATGCTCCATTCCATCCTACCCTCGGAAACCAAACCAGCTGAGCATGAGGAGATGCCAGAGCTGGGAGGAAGAGGGCACCTGCAGGCCCGAGAGACCCATTCCTCTGCCCGCCCTGCTCCCAGGTGGCTGCACTCAGCTGGCTCCCCTTGATGGCGGGTGGGGGTGGTGGTACGGGGGATCCTTATCCGGCACCTATAGCCCTACCCACCAGCCTCCCAGCATCTGTGACCCAGTCAAATCCCTCCTTCCCTTTCCTGTCAGAATGAAGCCCGAGGGCGAGACTCAGGAATACAGACAAACATTCTCTTTATTGAGCTACACATGAATTTTCCATTAGTCAGAGAAGTAGGCTGGCAGTGTGTAAGATATCACAGAAACCTCACCGATTGGGAATAGAAAGGCTTAGAAAGACCCGTGGGCTTTTTTCTTCCCAAGTTTTTTTTTTTTCTGCATTTTAAATTTTTTGTGTTTTGTCTTTTTGCCTCTTTATCTGAAATGGCTGTGACTGGTCTTCAGCAAATATTAAGTCTTAAAAGTGAAACCGTGAAGGAGTTTGGATACTAGTCAAAGTAGAAATGACATTGGACTGATCATGAGAACTGTGGCTTTCTTGTAAACATTACATTCCATCTTTTTTAATTTTTTTTGTTTTTTCCATCTTGTAGTATTTAAAAATTTTTGTTTTTATCTGCAGCACAAACATCCCCACATGAGAAAGAGCGAACACAGGTTACTGAAACAAAGGAAAAGGTGGAGGGGCGCACACACACAAAGGGAGCATCCATCTGAGAGACGGAGAAGCAAAATGTCAGCGGGAAAAACCACAACCCGGTTCCCAAAGACTATGAAAGCTGATCTGGTATGTAATACATAGTGCTCATCAGGACAAAAATAAAAAAATCTAAAACTAAAAAAAAAATGATAAAGGTACTCTGTAGAAAGGGAGCTGGGGGGAAACTGTTTCCTATAAGGGCTCTATTTATATATATATATATATATATATATATATATATATATATATATATATATATATATATATATATATATATATATTGGGGAGTACATTTTTCTACATGATTTTTTAGCTGCTTGTTACTGGCATGTTCTATTTCTTGCTGATATATTTATTTCCATACGTAATTAGGATTAGAATAATCAAGAAAAAGAACTCCTATATGAATGCATGCTAAAGACATATAGTTAGATACAAAATTAGATAACAAGAATGTATAACATGATTCCAATTTTGCAGTCTATGTATATACGATATATATATATATATATATATATATATATATATATATATATATATATATATATATATATATATATATATATATATGTTCCGTATTCTTTTGGGGCAGCTACTGGCCCGTGAGAGCTGTGCTTTTTCTATGCAAACCTGGAGTGAGCATGTGGTTGGAGTGGCTCGGGCCTGGGCAGGTGGAGGGCTGTGGACGGTGAGGCCGCGTCTGGAAAGCGTGGCCTGAGCACACTCCCGGGAACCAGCGCCCCGGGTGCGGACAGGTGGCACCTCTGCAGGTGGGATGGGCTGGGCATGGGTGCAGCTGTGGATGTTTATTTCAGAAAGAAAAAAAGATGGATGAGATGCTGAGTTTTCCTTTATCCTTTTCTTTTTTTTTTTTTTAAGCTACAAAGCACATGGGAAATGTTCTTCTTTTCCTTTCAAATTCTAGATGTAAAGACTCAACTAAAACCGGATTCTACAGCATTCTACAGAAATACACAGCCGTCAGTCACTCTGGGTTGTAGGTTAGACAGGGGCTTGATACAGAAAGGCTGTGTGTCTTACAAAGGCCAAAAGGTCATGCTACCAGGAGATCAACGTCAACAGCAAAGAGTCCGTGAAGCAGTCTGTAGAGAGAGAGATAAGGGGTCCAGTCTGACCATTTCCCTTGATTTAAAACACCAACCACCCACCCAACCAACCAACCCTCCAATATGTTTAATAATGTTGAGGTGGGGCAAGATGGGGCAGCATCGCAGGGGGATCAGGAATCCAGGGGAAGCCTAGCCTGGGGCCTCCTGGGAGGCCTCACCCCTCAGGACCCTGACCCAGCCAGGTCTGCAGATCTGCCCTCCCCTCAGCCACTTCTGCCCCTTCTCCATATCACTCCCCTTCTTTTGCCAGCCCTCTTGGAGGGAGGAGCAGCTTCAGCTCTGCAGGTGACCTTGTGCTTTGCACGCCCCGCCCCCCCAGCTGCTTGCAGAAAGCAGCCAGAGTCTCCCTTTTCTCTGACTCTTGCCCTGTTAACATGAATAAAGAAAACTCAGGAAACAGAGAGTGAATTTTGGTCAGAGCAGTGATTCTTCTAAATTCTTGAAATTAACCACCTCTACTACCCAAAAGAGAAGCATCCTTAATTTTTCTGTTGGGAGTATAGGGCAGGGAGACATTTGGGATGTTGGCCATTTTTTAAAGGGTTTTGGAATTCGCACAAGAGCAGGACAGAACTGACAGCACACAGCCTCAGCAGGTGGATGCAGAGGAAAAGGCTGGACTAAGGCCAGGCCTTTCCTTGCCCTCTCCCTGCTCACAGAAATGGGTCTCAGAGTGTAAAATCATGTGGCTGTTCTTAAAAGGGTGGACTCCCAAATCAGGACTGCCATCGTGACGTGTGTGTGTGCACGCACGCATGCACATAAGTGCATGCTCAGGTTCTGTCCCAGGAAGACCTTAATGATCAATGGAATGTTGGTCAGTTCTGTCTGAAGCTCCTTCTAGTACAAACTAAAAAAAACTTTATATTTGTCTGTCTTATAAGGTTTGTTATGCCTTTTTAAAGTTAATTTACCAACTTGCATTTGTTTGTTAGTGGAGTGTGTGTGTGTATGTGTGCAAGCTTTTCTGTGAATGCTGGAATCATTACCAAATAGGTTGCTATACAGGACAAGAGGTCAGTACAAGCCGCAGCCCCGGAGGTTGTTGGCAATGATGATGTCAGTGACGGCGTCGAATACCACCTGGATATTATTCGTGTCTGTGGCACAAGTCATGTGACAATAAATTTCTTTGTTGGGTGAGCGGTTTTTGCTTTCAAATTGTGCTTGGATGTAGGCGGCGGCATCTTCATAGGTGTTGGGGCCTGTAACGAAACAGAGCAGAAGGCCGGCGGGGGGAGGCCCTGGTGAGAAGGGGCAGATGTGGGCCATGACCTTCTCCAGGAGGCTGCCTGGGGCCCTTCTCCAAGGTGGAGTCGCATCTTACACTGAAAACCACATGCAGCTGAGCACTGGCCTGGCTTCTTTCTGACTTTCCCAGGTCTTTCCTTCTGTGTTCACACAGGGTCCCCCCAGGAGCCCTGGGCGGACAGTAGCCACAGGCTGTCCCTTTTGCTTTCTAGATGAGCACACTGACTGAGGCTGGCCAGTCCGCCATTCACAACACTCACCCCTGGTATAAACCAGTCCTACTGCTTCTGATGCATGAGTTCCCGGGCGGGGTG